TATAAAATAGTAGCACAAACATAGTGGGTACAGAACAATTTGTACCCTAATAGAAGAATCTGTCCAACTCACATTCTTCCACATTCTGTGTTTAAAAAAGCTCTCAGATTCTTTATCTCTCATGTATGAACTAAGTGGGAAATTTTAGTAAGTAAGCAAGCCCTTATTTAAAAAATGAAATCAAAGCTTACCCATCCCTATTTGCAGTAACTCTTCCTAATTTATTGTTATAAAAGTGCCCTCTGATGGTTAAGATGAGGAAGCGTGGCTAGGAACAAGTGATGATGTCTCTATCAAGTTTCAGTGTAATATTCTTCAGTACCAGAATGCCAGGAATTAGCAAAATTACTGAAACTATCAAAATGTGATTCCGCACACCAAAGGTAGGATGGATCTGGAACATCCTCTGCTGTAACCTTTTCAAACAGTTGCCCTCCAGATGTATTAGACTCAATTCCCATGATCCTCCAGGCCATGCTAGCTAAAGAGATCATGGGAGTTGAAATCTAACACATTGGTGGAGGGGTGCCAGGTTAGTCTTTTTGGTCTTTTAATCCCAAATATGGGGGGCAGGGGGAACAGGAAAAAGGGAAAGACTTGAGACTGTTGGGTTGAGATCGCAATAATACAATCCTTTGCAAAAGCCTTTTGCAAGCTTTTTCAACGTTACACTGTGTTCAGGACTAACTTCCAGCCAAGTATGTACAAAGTGGTAGCAATCTATTGAATAAATATATTTAAGACTGTGTTATCTGTATCTTTACATAGAAACCATCATGTGACTTATAAAGATCCCATTCTTTTACGAATATCTGTACCATAATGTATTTTGATCTTAATGTTATTCTTCCACCCTGCATTTTCTTGGGATGGGAACAGAAATCAGAATAAATATTCTTGTGCTGTATAACTCTTGAAACTATTCCAGGCTTCTCTTCAGGACCAATGTATCACCTTTCATTACTGGCTTTGACATGTACCCTAATAAATCCAATCCAAGTATTTGTTTTACACCACTTTTCCCTGCCCCTTTTTTTTAGCATGCCATATTTTGGAATGTCCCTGTGGAATAGCCCAAGAAGTCATCAATACTATCGGGCAAGCTTTTGAACTCCGGTTCAAACAATACTTGAAGGTTCCTTCTGCTTTGATTACTTCCAAAGAAAGGTAAGTGCAAGGCTTTTGGAAAGCAGCTGTAATGGTCTATGGGAATGACCCTGGGAGACAGGAGGAAGAGCTGCAGACTAGGCAATGGTCACGCACAAGATAGCCCACAGGAGGAGAAGAGGCATGAGAAGCGTTTCAGAAGGGACCTTCCCTAGTTTTCTGGAGAGTAAAAGGAAAGGAGGGGAGAAAGGCTTTCAAACTTGCAAGATTCTATTACTGTACCCTTACAATAAAGATAGTGCTAGTACTCATGGTTTGTGCTTCTTGTCTGGACAACCTCAAAGGGCCAACAACAGCAAGTTCTACCTTCCTTTGGTTTGGATGCCACTTTCAAAATACCTGCAATTTCTCATTTTTCATCTTCTCAGTGTCTCCATCTCTAACCAGTAAGAGAGTTATATGCCAGAAATGTTGTCTAGCTCAGTGTTTCTCAACCTTTGCAACTTTAAGATATGTGGACTTTGAGTCCCAGAAGTCCCCAGCAGTATGCTGGCTGGGGAATCCTGGGAGTTGAAGTCCATATATCCTAATATCGCCAAGGTTGAGAAACACTGGTCTAGCCCTTACTTACTCTTTTACATTCTTTTCTTCTTATGCACAACTGGATAGATTCCTTTGAATTTATGAGGGCTTTATTCCCCATTCAATTTCTCATTCCCCCTCCCCATTTTTTTCTTTGCCTGTTATGTCTTTTTATAAGCTGGAGAGCAAGGATTGTCACATACTTACCTCTTTAAAAGTTGCTCTGTTGCCGATTAAACAAAATGCTTTAAATTTATTCATTTGAATAAATGTGTCTAGGACTGCAGCCCAAATGAGTGATGGATTCAAATTTATTTAACCTTGTTACATTAGATGATGATGATGATATCATCTCATAATTCTGAAAGGGAGGGAAATTGCAGATATTAAGTGGGCTGAAAGAAGTGGCAGATAGGCAGGTCAATGGCAATGTACATGTTTTGGGTGCAGAAGATCTCAGGTTCAACGGGATTTCTTGTAACTATACTGTGAAAGAATTTACCTGGTGAGCAGAATATTCCTTATATTTTGCTAGACAGATCAGAGCTAGTAGAAAGCAAACTTCTCCAACCTGGTGTCCAGCTGTGTTGGGTTTCAGTCTTCATATTGTCTGAACAGTCTAGGTCTCTGGTACATGAAAGCTAACACATTTGGAGGGCACCAGCTTGGAGGAGGCAAGTAAAACTCGTACTGTATATTCAGTGTTGATCCCTCTGCCCTGGGAGATGAACAGATGGAAAATGTCTTTTCCAGCTCCTGTGAATCACATAATTAAATTCTTGAGTCATGTTCTCCTAATCAGACCGCTTGGTCCATATCTCTTTCCTGTTCCTGTCTTTTCATCCAATTACGTTCTTACAATAAATTAAAAATCAAGACTCATCACAAGTTGTTATTTTGAGAAGAAATACTGTAAATGGGGCCAGGGGAGGCACTTATATTCATACCCCTGCCCTCAGCCATGCTTTTTTCAAATTTATCAAGAGAAGCACTCCTTTCCTGTTCTCCCAGCTGCATCTGAGAAGTGCTCATAGACAACCAATTTCCGAATGATTGCAAGAAGATGTGAAAAGGCCTCAGTTCATTCATGATCAGGCTTAGATCTCCTGATGCTGTCAGTTCAAAAGAAGGAGGGGGCTTTTAGTGGTTAATTGTGTTGACTGGCTTTCTTATTTTAAGTTGCTTTTTTTATCTCTCTAGGTTTAGTTCTTAAAGTTCTAGTGTTTCTTTTCCTGCAGTGTTTTTGCTGGTCTAGGTTTTTCTTTTCTTTTTCAAGCCCTTGTATGGGAATGGAGAGGAGGAATAATAAACCACCCACCCCACTCAATACTGTGCTTCTGAAAAATGTATATGTCAGCCGTGGCTTGTTTTTGCACAGAGAAGGGGTGAGCCTTGGTGGATCTACCTGGAATATTCAAGATAAGGAAGATTGTGGATACTATAACGAAATCCCTGGAAAGGAGCCTCCCATGGGTGGACTTTCAGATGCCAGGCTGAAGATAGTCCCAGAAGAAAGACTCAACCGTCCCATCCATTGGGAACAGCAACAATGTCTAGTAAGTATATGTGTTATCAGTGTGATTTAGCAACACACCATGCACTGAACCTAGTCTACACTAGGACGGATTTTGTGCCTTCTGAAATCATTAGCCTGAACTCTAAGTTAATCTCCTCCCACTGAGCTACCCTGCAGTACACTATGCCAGCTTGGGGAAATATTTCTCTTGTCCCACTCCTTTTCCTGACCTCTTACATAGTTCCAGTGCTGTGATTCTTAATTGATCAAAAGATCTGTTAGGATCATGATTTGACATCCCATGGCTATCTCTTCCCTATAGATTTTGCTTCATTGGGGTGTTTTGGGGGAGTTCTGGAGAAGGATCCTTGTTTGACCCCTCCCAAAAATGGCAATTTATTCAACAAAGCCATGGGCAAAACACTTGGCTTAACCCAATGTATGATCTCACCCTGGGCCTTAGGTAAGCTGTGGCATATAATGCAGTGTTATGTGTGAAGTGAGCTAATTTGGGTTTATTCAACAAACCATGGGTTAACTCAAGTGAGTCTGAATCTGCCGAGAACTCCTCACAGTAATTTGTTTCTGTTTAATTTTTGTAGGATGATGATCCCAATTCCAAACAGCTTTATGAAAACTGCCCAGATGAACACAGAGCAGTAGGTGGGTCACCTGTGTCTTACAAAGAGCTTGTTCACGCCATCCAGTCTTGGTGAAGGAACATGTATAATCCAGCCCCAGTCTTCTTGTAATCAAAGCTGCCTTCTTCTTCCCCAGTAGCTAATACTGGAAGAGACAGCTGAAATGAACCATCTTCCATTCAGGATGCCTGGTGCTAAACTGTAGGCAGAGGGGAATAGCCAAGATCAAGACCAGATGACTATTCTGCTTAGTTTCTGTGATGAAACTGTCTTCTTCTTGGCCTCCCTTAGGAAGCTATGTTGGGCTGGCCCTGGTCCTGACATACCATGTGCTGGTTTTATACATGTTTACATTCTGGAATGAGTATTGTCATTTTAATCTGGCTCAGTAAGTCATCAAAGGAGTCTCCCAGGGGCCATCAGAGGTGGAAGACCATGCAGCCTTATTGGGGATAGACAAGTTGCTTGTGGGCCCCAAGTTTCCTTTTTGAGACTACCTGGGATGGTACTATTGGAATTCAGTAGAACCACAATTCATAATGTCAGTCTTTTAAACTTCTTTGGTGAAGCATTTTTAAGAACCTCTAAAGTTGTTGTGATGGTGATGATGATGATTGCTTCCATCCGCCTCCAATCATTATTCCATTAGACCTGTTTACATATTCCTCTGTCCATGTTCTTATACATACTAATGTGGTGCACACTTTTCAAATGAATTCTAATCACACTGATAGATTACAGTAATTGTAATTAAGTCAGAATGTGATGGTTTAAATATTTTCCTTGGCAGTGGTGTTTCTTTAAGACAGACAACATGTTAGACACAGCGCTTTTGTATGTAGTAAAATACTAGGAGATCGAGCATCCTTCTCTTTTCTTGGTAGGATTAACTCGCCTCAAGTATTTTACACTGCAGACTAAGCTTTTGTTTTTTCTGAAAAGCTAAAGAAATATCCTCTTTTGATGGTTAATTGCAGATATCAGCAAACCAGCTCAGGCAGCAGATAAAGATGCTCTGTTGCTGAAAAGTAGCAGCAAAGTGGATCTTTTTGATGACCCTCGATATATCAATACTCAAAACTTACAAGCTACATCAGGTATGACCAGAAGCCTCCTTCCAGAACAGAACTCCGCAAGTCCAGTTCATCATTTAACTATGTTAATATTTCTGCAAATCTATTCCTTGCAGCTTCGAAAAGAAACATTCACGTTAGACACTAATCCAGCATTGTCTGAAACAATGCTAAGCCTCAAGGTCAGACTCAAGATCATAGAATAGAATCATAGTTGGAAAAGACTTTGGAGTCTTCTAATCCAACCCCCTGCCCAGGGCAGGTATCCCAGACAAGTGGCTGTCCAACCCTTGGTTCAAAAGCTCCAGTAATGGAGCATCCATCACTCCAGGAGCCAGGCTGTTCTATTATGGAATAACAATCAATAAATTCATGTTTCCCTCTGTAAAGCTACCATCCATTGGTTCTCATCCTATCCGTGAGTACTATAGAGACTAAATCCACACTCTCCTCCCTGACAGCCCTTCAAATATTGGAAGACTCCTATCATGCCAGCTTTAAAATGAGCTGAGGACAGGACTTGCAGTCATACTATTGTCTGTATAGAATCTTTCTCTAAATGCCTGCCTTAGATATATAAGTTGAAAAAAATATGGTTTTTCTGCATTATCAGCGTCAGAATCTCTTCAGTGTCAGACCCTTTTTAACTTGTCAAGGTGGTTTAAATGACAGTGTTGTCCCTTGTCTCATTGTGTAGTTTGTTTGTTTTTTGCTCTAGTGGAGTTCAATGATGTTGCATTTACATTTGTGTGATTGATTTTATTCATACCTCCATACCATGTCCCAGAATTCATATGGATGGAGAAGGATTTAAAGATATTTTAATACATCCATCTGAGCTAAGATTGTGTCCTTGAATCTGTAGCCCATGGTATATTGCCCTTTCTTTAACGATGCAAGGGCCTGTTTCATAACTCCCTAGTTAGTGAAGTACCCAGACAATTCAGATGTATTTTAGATACAGCTACTTCTGGCAGACCAGTATGATTCAGTTTCAGTTGTTGCTGTAAATTCAACACGGCTTAGTTGCCTTGATGATGTAGTTCCAATTTTATGTTTGTATTTTATTTTACTTGAAACAGAAATGGTTTATTTACCTTGTTAATGTCTTTATATTATAGAAATAAGAAGATGTATCATAAATGATTTACTAATAGGCTAAAGGATTATGATATTCTGCTCTTCTTAGATCTGTGGGCATAATGGGTTGTGCAAATCCTGCCAGTTGTGGCTTATTCAAGAAATAAGCCCCCACTCACCTAGGATGGGTGAACCAATGCACGTAGACAGCAGATCTCTTTATCTTCTATTTCATCTTCAGAATCATTGGAAACTGTAGAGCAGGAAGTATTCAGCAAGATGGCAGGCCTTGGATGCATCATGGATACAAAGCCACGGCTTTGGAATGAGGAATGCTACCATGGGAAGTTATCCAGGAAAGCAGCAGAGAGTCTCTTAATGAACAATGGAGACTTTCTGGTACGGGAAAGTACCACATCACCTGGCCAGTATGTCCTGAGTGGACTGCAGGGAGGACAAGTGAAGCATCTGTTGTTGGTGGATCCTGAAGGCAAGGTAGGAATGATTAAGATGATGGTCATAAAAGAAGACATCCTGCCAGCTGTTCAAAGATGCGAAGTGCCTTCTAACCAGAGGTATTTGTGAGAGGGATAAAAAAATCAAGATGGTGGCTATGATCTGTGATTAAAATCTCAGCTCTGTTTTGACCCGACCTCCCCTGTCTTGAATTGACGGTCAACCATAACATAATATACTTTTTTAATATTCCAAACATAGATGTGGGGTATACTCCAGCGAACATTAATTCATAGGAAATCCATGAAGTTGCTAAGGTCCCAGAAAGTTGTAAATTATGCACAAAAGATAACCCTAGTCTCTTTTTATCATATCTTTTCTTAATCTAATCTAATCTTTCAGCCTACTTTCAGGCCACTGGTAGGAGGAGATAATGGGAACTGTAGTCTAAAACATTTGGAGAGCACCAAATTGTGGGAGGTTACTATCCACTGTGATTCACTGACAAATACATAGCGCACATTGCTGGACTACATCTCCCAGAAGTCCCAGCCAAAATGGCTAATGATGATGAATACTGGGAGTTGTAGATCAGCAACCTTCGGAATGCCATGGATGATATACTCTTGATGTAATACTTTCATCACTTGCATTCATTAGTGCAATCAGGTAGGCTGCTTTTCCAAAACCCTTATCTGAGGCATGGTTTATGGGTACAGATGCAATGTCTGTCTTCAAGCACCATACTAAGCCACAAAACTTGGATTTCAAAGTAAGAGATGGTTTTCCACAATGTGCTAGGCCCAAGCCAGACAGTGTGTTGCAAATGAACATGATGTGTGATTCCATTCTGTCATTGCCCATATCTGTAGGCCATTATTTTTGAATCACAGAGACCCATTCATCACTAAAAACCAATAATGACTTTGAAAAACTCATTTTCTTAAAGAGTTGGAAGGATTGGGGGGTAGAGTTTGCCAGTGGGTGCCTTCCAGTTTGATGCTGAATGCAAAGCTATAGAACAGTTGCAGAGCCCTTTGTGAAATCTCAGTGGGGATTTTTTGTTCTTAGCCACCACTTTTGATGCATAATTGTACCTGAAAGACATTAGGCTTTTATGCAAAACTCTGGCCATCTGACCTGAGCCTCTATCAAAGAAGAGAGAACTCAAAAGCAACTTATAGCCTGCCACTGTTTGTCAAGTTGCTGTAGTCTAAGAACAGTTTAAGAGAAGGCAATTTAAGGCAAAATCCCCTTTTCTTTTCTTTTCTTTTCTTTTCTTTTCTTTTCTTTTCTTTTTTCTTTTTTCTGACTGGTGGATGAGAGTGACTGTCTTCAAAATGTAATCCAGATTTCAGGAATCATTCCGAAGTAAGCAAGATCAACCTTCCCATGAAAAGCAGGGTTTTAACATTTATTAGCTTTTTTTCCTTTATTTCCAAAGTGACCGTTTTGTTTTACAAAGTTGTAAGGTCCTATCAAAGTTTTATTTATTACATAGATATATCAAATATGTATAAGTAAGAGGTGTATTGATTTCTTCCCTATCCCTAACACCAATGAAATCCTTAATTTATTTCAGGTAGATTGCACAAATACATGCTATCATTTTACAGGGTCACAGTATTGCAAAATTTGAGGACCTTTTACTTAATAAATTCTTGGCTGCTTTTTTTTTTTCCAGGTTAGAACCAAAGATCATATATTTGATAGTGTGGATCATCTTATCCGCTACCATATGGAAAACAAATTGCCAATCATCTCCTCTGGAAGTGAATTAAGGCTGTGCCAGCCTGTAAGAAAAGGGTTAGGGCAGCTGCGTTCTAACGAATAATTCCGTTGGCTCACATCCTTCTCAAGGCAACTCTTTCTTCGCAGATCCTAAATATCCCTAGTGACTATTCTGGACTCAGTTCCTGCGCATACAATTCTACAAAGAATAGGAGACATCTCTTGATATGGTTACAGAAGAATTCTTGGGGGGGGGGGGGGGG